TACTCCTTTAAAAATAGTTGTCATTGTGACATGTCGAACATGCAGTTTTTAATTTTTCGAAAATGTATTGATATAAATGCCATCAGATAAAATTTTGTATGTAATACGAATCATAAACAATCATTATGGCACACGCCGTGTTATCGGACTCGGCTTCTTTATGATCCTTATTACATAAATAACTATTATGTCATAGATTATTTCATTCATCTGAAAATTCACGCTTTTGATTGGTTGTAACAGCTGTATTGATAATCGAAAACACTATGTTATCGATTTTGTATTTCGGCACCTGATTGGCTACTTACTGTTTGAGTTTTTGTAGCATGACAGCAGGATATAAATGCTGTCATAATATATTCGTGTTCAGGAAATAAAAACACTACACTTCTATTCAAAACCCAATAGGCACTATCACAATTTGAATTGTCCTCACAATTATTATAAGACAATTCCAAATAATTATTGATTGAGCATGATTCGCATGATATAACCTAAAATAGGAATAATTTTCCAACCACGACTGACGTGACATCTCTACATCTCTCTCTTCTCACTCCCTATGATGTACAGTGTGTCCAGTTTTCGATGCTTTCGCGTGATATCTCAGTTATCTTTCGAGATAGAACCTTGCGGTTTTCGCGGTCCTGTACCACTTTTCTGTAGAACTCAAGATGGTCTAATCAGATTTTGCATAACTGTTTGCGTTTATGAAATACAGGGCGATTTTGAAAATTTATACTTTTTGGACCCCCTCTATATCTACGAAGTTTCTCAGCGAAAATGTCAAATTGGAATCTTATCCCATACAGAATTTTGCGCAGAATTCAGTGGCGTACTCAATTTTTTTTTCTGGGTATGGTTTCGGAGATACGACTCGAACTTATGATTTTTTAAATGGAACACCCTGTATTTTATAAGCTCATTAAATTCCTTATTTTTCCCCATCAAAATAAAATATGATGAATAGGTATAAAATTTTCAAAAATGCTCCAAAATCACTAAAACATAGAATTTTAGGTATGGGCTATGGATTTTTCATTTAAAAAAAGTTCCAATTGAAGGGATATTTCATTTGATTATTCCATGAAAAGGACAAAAACAATCCCAACACTAGTTAATTAAGATAACACAAAAATCAGGTACCTGATAACAACAAATGAATGGTAATAAAAAGTTCATATTCTAGAATAAGCACCTGATTTAATATTCACTAAGACAGTTAATGGAAATTGGAATAAAAGATCATAAAAGTCCTTGGTTTAGAAATATGCCAATGGGTATAAATGAAATGAGTAAATGGACCAAATTGTCAGCTGAAAAGATCGGTTTAGATACAAAAAACGTGAAAATATCAAACCATTCAAACAGATCTACAGCTGTGAGTCAATTGGCAAGTTCTGGAATTGGGGAACAACAGATAATAAAAGTTACTGGGCACAGTATTTCAATGTCATTGAAACCATATTTACAACTGAGCAAAGAACATCATGCTGATATAATATCAAACCTCAGAAAAGAAGATAATATGGATATATCCACGACGGTTGCATCTAGTAGCAGTAATGATGAATGTCACTATGTCAAAATAAATAATTGCAATAACTGTACATTCAATATAATTATTAACAATAAATAGGTAGTGAAAATGGTTTATTTTTCATTCATGAAATAATCTTGACAAATACAACACGTGTAATTGATGATTATCGAAAATTCCTTCTCTTTTTCGAAACAAATTGTGTTGCTTTTAGGCAACCACACTCGCGCTATGCGCTCGTGTGGTTTCCAAGCAACACAATTTGTTTCTCAAAATCGAAGGAATTTGTGTTTCGATAATCATCAATACACTTGTATTACAAGCGAAAATCACATATCATAAGGATAGAAATGTAAATCCTACTTTTGAATTTAGATACTTATATTGAAACCTTATCACTGATTCATAACTTTCAGTCTCTTCGGTAGCATTTCTTCATCGTAAGATTCGACAAACCTTCCCGATGCTAGTAAATCTTTGAAATCTTCAAGACCATCACCCTCTTTGTATCCAATATTATTTCAAGTGTGAATTGGTCCTTCATCCACAATTTCATCTGAATCACTAACTTCCTTTAAATCCTATCTCTAATATTTAGAACAACTATTTTCGAATGTTTCTTGCAATCTTTATGTAAGTGAAGTGGAAATTTCACTAAATAGCTCAAAATCGTATATAGTGATTAGAAAAAAATTCGGATTCGAGTTTTTTCTTTTCTTTGCATTTCTGGGAACATTTACTATAGTGATAGTAGTAGTGGTAGTATACAGGGTGTTCCGAAACTATTGTGCCAGAATTCAAGGGTTGGTAGATCTCGCCAAAACAAACGTTTTTCACTTATTAACCCATAGGCGCATGCGCATGCGTTCAGTGATAATAGCGCATTAAGGTCCGCGCAGTGGTATCCAACCTCGGACACGGGGAAACGTGTTTGTACCGGAAACCGTGTTAGTAAATGACATGAAATCACAAGCAATATATGGGAGAGTTTATAAAAAAAAAACACTACAATTTAGATTGAGTTAGGTTTTACACATTGCCACGACGCAATAATAAATGAGAAGTCTACGCAATACGAGTGTCGGGAGCGCAGCGATTGGTCTCGATCGTCAAAATCGGTAGAGCTGAGCACTCAATATCGATATTATTTATTTATGTATGTACATACGTCAAAATCGGTAGAGCTGGGCACTCAATATCGATATTATTTGAGTATGCACATATGTTAAACTTTTTTCTTGTGACACCTATTGGTACCGAAATAAGGTGCATGCGCCTATGGGTTGATAAGTAAAAAACGTTTGTTTTGGCGAGATCTACCCACCCTTACATTTTGGCACAATAGTTTCGGAACACCCTGTATATTTTTTCACATTATCAGACAGAAGAGATTTCATCGAACAAAAAACGCCCTTACTGTTTTTGAAAAGCAGATATTTTGACGTGAAAATAAGGGTGTTTTTTTGATATTAAATCGAAATAAAGTGAAAAAATAAATATTTCGAATGAGAAAAATCACAGTGTCTTTAGGACATAAGAAGGTTAGTTCTCACCGAAGTTCGTGGAAAAAGATGTTTTCTGCATGAGAAAAATAATGATCCAAAAACTTGATTATTTGAATTTTTCACATAAATTTTGAGGTTATGTGAAGAAAGTGTGATAACAAAAGTTGTAGGTCTCTTTATTACCTATACAACTTTGTCATTCAATATTTCTCCATAGGACTTGTGGTCTTGTCGGAAATCGAGATACACCGTTTTTTACCCTTAAAACTCACCCCCTTCCACTTCCCGACCTCAAATCGCCCGTAAATTGTTTTTTCTTTCATTTTTGTTATATTCTCGTCCTTTCTCAATGGATTTCATCCTACTATTATTCTTTTTTGTTTCAAAGATTATCGACCCTGGTCTATCAGAAATAGATCATTTCTTGGATGTTTGCTCGTTTGAGAATTATGAAGTTAAAATTCAACAATCTCATATTGTTACCTCGTTACTAGAATTTTTCAACGCACGCTTGTGAATATGTCGCATCAAAACTGTAACATCTTATGTAGTTTCAGGCAATATATGAACATAAACCAACCCTCTAGTTTTAAAATGTCTTGCGTCTCATCAATTTCTGACACCGATACACTTTTCGTTGAATTGTAACGGATATTTGTTTCGCATTTGCATTTCGTAATGTGTAAGGTTAACATTAGACCTAATAATTATGACATTCTGATGCGAATGATTGACAGTTTTTACCGGTTCTGATTGAGGGTTTCTCCACTGAGCAATTCCAGGATTACGAGAAATCGATACGGGTAACGAATAAGTGTTTAACATGTGTGCAGTGGTGTGATGTTTGGTTTTATGAATTTCTTACGACTTCACCGAGACTCGAGAGTAGATATAAATTACAAATTAAAAACGAATTTATTGAAATTTTTGGACTCTTTATGGCTGAAACAGGCGTTAGGATCCTATATTAGAATCTACCCACTTACTGAAATTTCTATAAATCAGTAAATTCTGTGCTTTGTTTTTGATTTTTTTGAATCTGATGAACATTTTCGAGACGAATACACCCATACGAAATATCTTGTACTTTTTCACATATCAGTTCACAATACTTATTTGTATGCTGTAATGTCCTGTTTTCTTATTAAATCGGAGTTCGAGTTATCGAGTTCTTTCAGAGTTCAAACCAGAATGTACTCTGTAATCTATACAGTACCTAATTGCTAACCTACCTATTACCAATGCAATTACTATGAACAATGAATAGATGGATTCACACGAGACCAACGAGACGAGACTTTCATAATGTCTCGTCTCGTCTCGCCGATGAAATATGAAATCTTGTCTCGCAGCCCCGAGTCTCGTCTTGTCTCGCGTCTCGTACGAGAGTCTCGCAATAAATGTATCGCAATTTCGTCATGCATAATTTTGTTCCAGTCTAGTACTGGATATTTACCTTCACCTACTTCTTAGGTATGATGTAGAAGTAGGAAGAGGAAATTACAACAAAAATGACATCATTTATTGAAGTACCTAATAGGTACATACTTACATCATACATCTGAACAAGAAAAAAACATAGCATTATACCGGGTGGCTACGGAAGTATTGCATACGGAATATCTCAGTTATTGTATGAAGTAGGTTTGTGAAATTTGGAGCGTCGATATAATGACATAAAAGCTAGAATTTGAGCATATTGACATGTCGAAGTTAACTTCCGGTCTGACCGGAAGTAACATCAAATTTCTTATTTTGAATGGAAACCCTTTTTTTTTCTTTTCGCTTTATTCAGCATCCAATTTCCTTTCTAATGACATATCACAAGTTGGTATCTAACCAGAAACTAGATCAGAAAAGAATTATTATTGAAATTCACCGAGTAGGCCGTGGAAGCAAACACTAACGTACCACCGAAGAAGATCATAAAACCATCACCCCCTATTGTTATACAGGGAATCATAGCGGATCGTGCTAAGTTTCTGAGGGAATTCAGATACTTAGCAGAAAAGCCATTCTACTTGAAGTATGGTCATAACTCGACCCTACTATACGCCGACAACGAGAAGGATTATGAAAGACTCAGGGACCAGTTTAAGAAAGAAGAGCTACCCTTCCATACTTATACACAGAAAAAGAATAAAACTCATGCTTTCGTGGTGAGAGGCCTCGATTTTGAGCCTGGGCAGTCCGAAATCACGACTGAAATGTTGGATCAACACAAGAGGTTGTGGTTAAGGAGGTCTTCAGGCTCCGAACAAGGTTCAGGCCACTCTACCTGGTCATTCTGGATCCTAAATACACTCTGCAATTATTAAACACCAAAGTGAAATATCTTTTTTCAACAAGGGTCATATGGGAACTCCGACGGAACAACAGGGAGATCTCACAGTGTAGGCGATGTCAGGTGTGGGGGCACGCGACCAGCAACTGCTTCAGGCCACCTAGGTGCCTGAAGTGTGCTGGTGGCCACTTGACGTCGGCCTGCAGTTTGCCCAATACAGAACCTGCTAAATGCGCAAACTGTGGCGCTGACCACACTGCCAATAGCACCATTTGTGAGGTCTACCTCAAGAGAATTAACATACTGCATCGAAGCCAGACTAATAGACCAGGTAGAGTCGGCCTGAGACCCGCACTGCCTCCCTCCTCGAAAGTGTGGGAGGATCGCAAGAAGCAGCGATGGCGACATGATGGGAGTCGTGGAGGAGTTGGGGACCATGGACCAGAAAGTGATCTCGGTGAGTTGTATAGGGCCCTCAAGGACTTGAACGCTCGGATTGCTGCAGAAAAAGATACTATGAGTAGCAACTTCAACATAAATGGCATCAATAATAAGATGCCGTCGTTTTTTAATTTTGTACATCGCTACAACTTGGATATTATACTTTTGAGCGAAACCAAACTCCGTCAGGACCATAATGCGGATAGGTATCGGGGGGTAGCTATCTTGGTAAGAGATACCATCCCTCACAGTGTGGTCGCGCCCAGACGTTGTTCCATGGAACACGTAGGGGTGAGGCTGCACAGTGGGGAGGTTATATTTGCAATATATAATAGGCCGACTAACAGGATCACCGAACTAGACATGGAGGCTTTATGTAGTGCTGGTAATAAAGTAATAATAGGAGGCGATTTCAATGCGAAGCATGTAGATTGGGGGAATCGTGTCAACAACCCCAATGGAAACGCTCTTAGGAGATATGCCCTATCTGGTAACGAGAACATAGACGCTCCGAAGACTCCCACCCACTTTCCCTTGAATGGAATGTCATCGTCCATCATTGACTTGATAGTGTCCAAAAACGTGACAGATATAAGGAAAGTTAAAACAGTGGATGAAATGTGCTCGGACCACGTGCCAGTACTGTTCGATTCAGGAAAGAGAACTCAAATCATAAAGAAATCCATCTATGACTACAAGAGAATGGACTGGCATGTGTACAGAGCGCATCTCAATACCAATACAAGAATAAAAGCAGCTAGCCAGAAATTCATCAACCAACAAGAGGTCACTATCAACTCCGCCTTGGACAACCTCCCGGATGATATTCTAGACCTCATAACTGAGAAAAAAGCAGCAAGAAAACGTTGGCAGCGACTTAAAACGGCCGAAACCAAAGAAGTTTTTTTGAGGCTGGGCCGTGAAATGGACAACCGTATCAGAGAGGTCAGGAATGCTGCCTGGAGGTCCAAGGTGGAGAACCTGAGTCCCGCGGACAACACACTTTGGAGGGTCACCAAGGGACTGAAAAGAAAATTTGTCCATATACCTACCCTGGAGTGTTGTACGGGGGAAGCAATGACAGATCCACAAAAGGCGGAAGCGCTTGGGAGTCAATACAAAACAATGAGCCAAATCAATAAAAACCCAGAAATTATCGAGCAGGAAGAGATCATCAGAACAGCAGATAGAGTAAGGAACCTATCGAGCGTTCCATTGTCTCGTCGAGTACTGGAAAAATATCTTACGACCCCTTCAAAAGTTAAAGGCATTATAAAGAGATTAAATCTCAACAAGACACCAGGAGTCAGCTCCCTCATGACTGCCATCAGGGTTGTTAGACAAAAATCATCGGCAAGGCCTGCATCGGCTGCCTCTGTGGGCTTCCTTGGAGGGTAATTCTGTGGCGTATCTAAGTGTTCTACATTGTATGTTTTACATTTTCATCATGTCCAGTGTCCCCTTAGAAGATTTTTGTTTATACACCTTGTATTGTAATGTATTGAATAAGTTTCAATTATAATCATTTCATATCAACTAGTTGAATAATTGCTCGAAATAACTCACTAAGATTAGGTATTACCAATTCTGATGGTAATATTTCGAAGCAGAATGTCGAAATTATGTCAATTTGAAGGGATAACAATTATAACGAAATTCTCTAGCGACCGATATTCCTTGTTGTTTGTAAGTCTCAGAACAGTTTTAAATGGTAACAGTAGGGCGTTATAAGGACAGATTATCAAATAACACCTATTTTTTTTTCAATAGACGGTGAAAACTAATAATGAGTTTCGCTGGTTTTTTACATGAAAATGGAATCAATCAATGTAGAGACTAGTCGCAGAGTTGGTATTGAATGGTATTCGTAATTTTAACTAACATTTATCAATAGATTTTTTCCTTTCGAATTAAAATGATTTCAACATTCTGCTTTTAAATGTTAGAAGAATTGGTAGCAGTATATACGAGAAGTACCTATTTATAAGTGAGTAATTTCGAGCAATTATTCAACCAGTAGATATTTCAAATAATTAGAACTCACTTTACACTCTTTGTAAATTTTGTTCTGCGGACTTTTTGAGAGTGTTCTAGCTCTCTTTGAAGCCGATGAAACATCACATCTGATATCGAAAACCGCATAAAGAACGGTATATTTTTTCAAAAAATACAGGTGTGAATTAATTATACCTTTTTGGGAAAACTTTTATATATTTTATTCAATATTCTGACAATTCTATCTTTATTTATAATTAACAACTGACTCACTGTCACTATCAGATATACAGTGCATTAAAATATTCAAGTTTCTTGAACATTCTCCCCCTTGGTACTAACTTCAGTGTTAGTACAATCAACATTCAGTCGGTGGAGTTTTCGGACTGCCCTCTTGAAAGTTCCATTAGCGGTTCTTACATCAGCTACCCTTACAATTCCGTCTGGACCAGTGTAGATTTTATCGATCTGCCCAAGTGGCCAAAATCCTCTTGGTAACGAGGTTTCATACCATATCACCAATCTGGATCTTTGATTCATCTTTCTGCCATTTTTTGCGATTAATCAATGTCGGAATATATTCTCGAAGCCAACGCTCCCAGAACATATCAGCTAAACACTGGGATGTTTGCCATTGTTTTCGCAGAAGTAAATCGTTTTCCGTGAAGTGACCAGGTGAAATGAGAGTAGTAGATCTACCAATCAAAACATCATTTGGACATATACTGACCAAGTCATCGGGGTTATCACTATCAGATACATGGGTTAATGGTCTACTATTAACCACATGTTAAGCTTCGGCAAATACGGTCTGTAGTACTTCTTCCGTTTGATGTCTGTCTTTCATGATTACTGTTAGAGCTCTTTTCAAGAAGCCTATCAAGCGTTTCCAACTACCTCCCATGAATGGAGCAGCAGGTGGTATGAACTTCCATTGGATACTCTTGTTCGTCATATTTTCGATGACTAAGTTGATATCGAGTTCCTTGGAAATTCGAACCATTATCTGACCAAATCACTTTTACTGTTCCACGTCTTGCTAAAAATCTTCGAATTGCCATTATACATTAGTCGGTGCTGAGAGAATGGGCGATTTCTACATGAATTGCTCTTACTGTCAAGCAAGTGAATAGAACTCCATACCTCTTCTCTACTCTTCTACCAATTTTCACGTAAAATGGGTCAAAGTAGTCAATGCCAGTAGATGAGAATGGCTTTTCATATAATAACAACCTATCTTGTGGTAACAATCCCATTCTTGGTTCAACTTGAGGTGCCATCTTTCTTCTACATTTCATGCATTGTCTAATGGTCTTCTTGACTATCGTAGAAATATGCGGGATCCAATATTTACGCCGCAGTGTTTGAGTGCCTTGGTGTCCATACTGTTCATGGATATAAAGAATCATTTTTTTTTGCGAATAAATGTTCTCCATCTAAAACTATGGGTTCTCTTTCGATTTCAGCGACATTTCCAATCTTGAGTTTTCTGCTGGAAATTCTCATCAAACCTTCAGAGTCCAAAACAAGCGACATTTTGTGTAGCCTTCCTGATCTATTGCCTACTCCACTCTTTACGTTTTCGAGATCTCTAGAATAACAACTTCTTTGAATTTCCTTCAGACATTGCTTCAGACTTCAATCCAATTCGTCACTTGTAATAGCGCCAATTTGTTTGTTTTTCTGCCCCAATTCCAAATTATTCAAGAATCTTCCTACTCTCGCAGTTATTCTGAGTTATTTGATCCATGAGTAATAAGATTTTATTGTTGGCAAACATTCAGTAAGACATTCCGTCAGCACCATGACATTTACATATTCTGGTTCATTCAACTCGTCTGAACACTTTTGTTCATTTGCATGTTTTGAAATAACAGGCCATTCACTCTCATCTCTATGAAGAAATTGTGGACCCTTGAACCATCTGCACTCATCATTTGTTAAATTCTTCGGCGTATCTGCAGTTGGGACCCATCTCCATTCATTGACCTCAGTTATTTCTAAAATCTCTTCAACTCTAGGAGCAACGTAAGTTGGAAGCTGTTTTTCACTCTCGAGCCAATGAAGAACTGTTCGAGAAACAGACCAAAAAAGTTTTGAATTTATATTGATCTTCAAGTTTTTCTTCACTTCTGTACACAATCGAACTTCCATCACAGCAGCAAGTAATTCTAGTTTCGGAATTGTTAATGTTTTCAGTGGTGTAACTCGTGCTTTCGATGCTACTAGAACGACCTGTATACATTCTTCGAATTTCATGCGAATATATACTGCCGATGAATAAGCATATTCGCTTGCATCTACGAATACATGGAGCTGAATATGTTTCGCTTGTTTCAAATCGGCTGAATAACAACGAGGAATTTCCAGATGCGTGGACTCTTTCAATTCCTTCAACCATTTCAGCCATTTCTTGAACATGCTCTATCTTTTTTATAATTAACAACTGACTCACTGTCACTATCAGATATACAGTGCATTAAAATATTCAAGTTTCTTGAACAACAGGTCTTCGAAATAGAGTCAAATTATGAGTGGTCCATTCAGTGTGTTGAGAACTGTATATTTTTTGACGTTTGTAGGAAAAAATATTGTAACTCTTGAAATGCTACTTTGGTGATCAAGAACTGATTTTTTAACGAGACGCGGTGGGTGGGCGGCAAAAATTTATTTCTTTGGGATACCTTATACTATAAGACACCCTCAGGTCAGGAAAGCCATGGATTACGACCCCAGATTCAGGAAAAGATACAAACGTCCAAGACACCAACCCTTGGACGCCTTTTGTCAAAACCCACCACCTGGAACCCACAGGTAAGCCAATACACAAAGGACTCTTCGACTGAAGAAAATAATAAAACTTCCCATTCATCTATTTTTAATCAATGAAATAGCAACTTTTTTAACGAATAAAAATTCTCGTGCTCCCAATTTTCCAAATCGAACAACACAACACGATAAGTGACACACACACTTTCACAGCCCGTTCCAAACGAACAGAATTTTCATGCCAAATCTACTGGTTCAACTTCTAAACGCCCGACACTTCAAGTAAAACAAAATTAATCTTTTTTTTTTTTTTCTCCTACCTTAATGGCCATGGACATTAGTCCTTCAGCCACACACAAAATTAATCTTGTTTTACTGTGTTTGATAAATCAATAGGACTTTGTATGTCATCAATGTTATTTCAGTATCTGGAGACAGGACGACTTCATTTTGTTATCATTTCACTAAATCGCATCTTCCAATAAATGGTGGATCTCAAGCAATTAGAGCTCTGTCTGATAGATGTGCATTACTTGTGATAATGCTCTAACAAGATTACAACACCAATAACGAAGACATGCAATGCTTCCATTGATATACATTCTGCGCAGGTGCCCTAACCAGATCGTGACAGTTTTTCAGGCATCTTTGTCCTTCTATGCATTTTTCATAGGTCATTGCAAAGAACCCAGTGCAGATAGCCTGCTGTATGTTGAAGTGCAGAAACATTGAAAAATGCCATATAGTACGGGTACTGTGTCCAAGCGGTCTAAAAAGTACCAGCCGTTCACGATTCCAAGGTGCTGTCGGTTAGAATCCGGCTATCGATTGAGCACTTCATTAAAAAATGTTTGGTTCATGGTTGTTTCCTTGCAGCACCTCGACGCCCTATGTTAACATACTGTAAAATTGGCTCAGTATAGACCTAATTATGTTCATTATTTTATGTATTACAGTCGACATACTAAAATATGTGTGGTGATATGGTATTGATAAATGAAACCTCGTTACCAAGAGGATTTTGGCCACTTGGGCAGATCGATAAAATCTACACTGGTCCAGACGGAATTGTAAGGGTAGCTGATGTAAGAACCGCTAATGGAACTTTCAAGAGGGCAGTCCGAAAACTCCACCGACTGAATGTTAATTGTACTAACACTGAAGTTAGTACCAAGGGGGAGAATGTTCAAGAAACTTGAATATTTTAATGCACTGTATATCTGATAGTGACAGTGAGTCAGTTGTTAATTATAAAAAAGATAGAGCATGTTCAAGAAATGGCTCAAATGGTTGAAGGAATTGAAAGAGTCCATGCATCTGGAAATTTCTCGTTGTTGTTCAGCTGATTTGAAACAAGCGAAACATATTCAGCTCCATGTATTCGTAGATGCAAGCGAATATGCTTATTCATCGGCAGTATATATTCGCATGAAATTCGAAGAATGCATACAGGTTCTTGCGGACTTTTTCAGAGTGTTCTAGTTCTTTTTGAAGCCGATGAAATGTCACATCTGATATCAAAAACCGCATGAAGAACGGTCAAGTTTTTCGAAAAATATAGGTCTTCGAAATAGAGTCAAATTATGAGTGGTCCATTCAGTGTGTTCAGAACACTGTAGTTCTGAAGTAGTGAATATGCTCATTGCTCAGATCAATATGAAAAATAGTTTGAACTGTTATTGTCAAACATTCAGAAATGAACGATTTCTTGAGATGATGAGAGACATAACGTTAAAATACAAAAATCTGTTATAATTCACATAATGTGGTGAGTAGAATGAAGTAGAACATACACATTTGATTTGAACACTAAAAATATTTGGTGTACATTAGTAAAACATTTTAGTGAATATAATCTAAATAAAATAATATAACTCTATCGATAGATCAATGTATTTTTGAGATTAAAATAGTTCTATATCTTAGTGTTCCCATGAGTTTATCTCCATGAATCGATAACTGAAGGAATAGTAATAGCAATAAGTTATCACAATAGTTAACATACAATGCGCGAAATATATACTTCGCGCATCGTTTTACCATCCATCAATGGTACCATAGATCTAAATGCTATCATAGATATATTTTCCGACTTCCCGGAATAGGCCACGAAAGTGTGAAACTTTCTCAGAGAAACATCGTCTGAGAATGGGATATTTTTCAGGCAGTTTCCGAAAAGAATTATTTCATCCGCATGTTCCATGAAATTCTTGGAAAAGGTACTAAGTTTGTCGGCATGCCACACAGTTTTGCTAGCAAACGCCATTGGCAGTTTCGGAAAAGCTTGATTTTCATAATGGTTGTTCACAATTAGAATCCTGCGAAGCCTAATCCGTATTATTTTCGTTATTATATATACACCCAGTTCCAAAAAAAGTGACGCACTTGATATTTGACCTATTTTCTTAAAAAAAAAATAGTGAGCCGATTTTTTTTTTCATTTGTTGGTAGGTAGTGCATTTCTCTTTAAAAAAAAAAATAAAGAGGTGAAATTTTTTTCAAAGCCTCCTTGATGGTGGTGGAATAACTCGAACCATGATTTATTCTTAATTTTTGACTCACCCTGTGTGTTAATTGAGTAATGGCATAGGAAGTGCTTACACCCTATACGGAAGAGGATTCTTTCGCGAGCATTTTGTTTATTTATTCATTGATTTATCTTTGAAATTTTCCGAATTACATCTTTTTTTGCTTAATCCTTGCAGACTACCAACTTTCTGAATTTATCAAGAAACAATTTTCTAATGAAATAAACTGATACCAATAATTTTAAAAAACATTTTCATCAAACACAAAATTATAAATTGGGATGACTGCTTAATACCGTGTATTGCCTCCTATAGCAACTCTAAGAACTTCTAATCTACGAGACATACTGGAAATTAAGTTGCTCACCGTTTTCATTGGTATACGATATCATTCTTCCACTAATGCATCTGCCATTTCTGCAAGACTTTCCGTAGACCTCTCGCGAGAACGTACCCTTCTTCCTAATTCATCCCACAAATGTTCTATAGGATTCATATCGGGGCTTCTCGCAGGCCATTGTAATGTGGTAATACCAGTAGCTTCTAAGAAGTTTCGTACTATTGCTGCGGTGTGTGGTCGGGCATTATCTTGCATCAATATAAAATTATTGCCCACTGATTCAGCATAAGGTAAGACATACTGCTCTAAGATGTCAATGTGAATTTGGGCATTCATGGACTGTCTCACCGGAAAAACATGTAGGGGTGTCTTTCCATTCATTGAAATCCCTCCCCACACCATAACGGACCCACCATTGAAACTTCCGCATTCTGTTATTAAATTTTGATTAAACCGTTCACCAGTCGTTCTTCTCCACACTCTTCTCTTTCCATCCGCCATGTTGAGGCAAAACCTTCAATCATCCGTAAACAAGACATTCGACCATTCACGAACATTCCACTGTCCATAATTTTCATCAAAATTTCTTCTAGGAGCACGATGTTCGAGCAATAATTTGGAACCCTTTGCAGGTCTCCTAGCTTTTAAATTAACTTCTTTTAGACGTCTACAAACATACTGTCTGCTTACTTACTGCAACATCACGAATTTGGCGAAGATCTTGCTGAACATTTACCGCAATATTTGATCGATTCCGTAAAATCCGCAATCTCAAGAAGCGATCATCTCTTGGATAAGTGTCTCGGGGGCGACCAGAATTGATACCCTCCGAGCGGTGCTTCCTGTTTCTTCGTTCTTGCGGATCGCTCTACGAGCAGTTGCTTCATGAACTACCACTGCACGAGCGGCGTAACGTTCACTACGCCCATCGTTTACTAACGCAACTAATCTTGCTTCTTGTTCAGGATTTATTTAAGGCATTTTTTGTAATTTTAATCAATAAAACAAGACACTCAATTAATGACACAACGACAAATGGTCAAATATAGAGGCATCCAACAAATTAGTTGCTATGGCAACGGTTTTGTTTTTTAAAGACAATGTGATCAAACCAGAGTACAACCCAATCAATTTCGAGTACTCTGATCCTTCAATAAATTTAATTTGTGGGATAAGCGTAAGGTATCAGCAAAAAGGCTGCCATTCTGAAAATTTTAGAGATAAATCAATGAATAAAAAAACAAAATGCTCGAAAAAGAAGACTTTTTCGTAAAGGGTGTGAGCACTTTGTATACCATTACTCAATTAACACACAGGGTGAGTCAAAAATTAGGAATAAATCATGGTTCGAGTTATTCCACCGCCATCAAGGAGGCTTTGAAAAAATTTCCATCTCTTTATTTTTTTTGTAAAGACAAATGTATTACCTACCAACAAATAAAAAATAAATAAGAAGCGGCCTACTATTTCGTGTTTTTTTTTAAGAAGATAGGTCAAAAATCGAGAGCGTCACTTTTTTTGGAACTGAGTGTATTTCCACATGACAACTTCCAAATAGGTTTTATATTTGATAGACGGAAATGGAATGGCATTAAGAGTTTTCATTGTTTTACCATTCATTTAAAATATTTTCAGAACATCGATTCAATTGCGTAAGATAAAAAATCTGAAATGGAAATGATTTTACTTTTATCTGTAGGTAGGAGCTTCGATAAAATGGAAAGCAGGTGGTATTAGGACATTGTCGCACGTGTGTAAACATATCCAAACACATTTATCTTTAGACGCTTTGCTCAGCTTTTCTTGAAAGCCAAGTTCAAATAAGTTTTTTGTTTGTTATTGATGACTATTCAATTTACAACAAACATTTTTTCCCGCAATACAGATTCGTTAAAAATGTTCAGTTGCGTAGGTACGCTAGCACTAGAATGAAAATAATTGGTATCAAAAATAGGTGTAGCTTTCACAGCACTTCACAAATTTCAATTCACTCCTGCTGTACAACAAAACAATTCACTAATTAATTATGAAAAAATTGTTATGATCTATCCTCTATGAAATGCTATGAATTTGATCTTCACTAATAATTATATTATACTAGAGCTTTTTTGTCTCAGTGAACTTGACATTTCCATCAGAATTTTGTTACCTGAAGTTCAACGTTTGTTACTTAGTTACATT